TTTACCGGCCCGTGGAAGCAATATGACGGCATTTGAGCCGCCAGAATCGCTTCCATTTTTAAAGCTGACAGTCGTTTTTACAATTGTAAAAGTCCCGGCTGCGGAGTCTGTTTAACCACCTCCCGCCCATGGCCGTTCCTGAAAGGCCAGACGGGAGCCTTATAGGAGCGGGAGCGTGCCTTAAGACTTCCTGCCCCTCTCCCCGCTCGTGGGCAGCACCCAAATGCGCACACAAGTGGGGAAACTGTCAGTAATGTAAACAGCCAGTGATGGCTGTTTACATTCAAGCGATCAGGTAGTAGGTGCGGGTGTGCGCCCCCCCGCACCTCTACCGCCGCTGCTGGTCCCGAGATCCGCTGGGACCGACACGGCGACGCTGTCAGTGGAGATCAAATGGAGTTCAGTACACAATCTCCCTTTGATCTTGTCTCTGGTCCCCGAACGCAGGAAGTGATGTATATTACATTACATGCATTCAGTGTCACTCACTGGTTACAGATGACAGTGAGAAGCTGATGAAGCAGATCTCTGCTTCATCAGCTTCTCTGGGGGTCCCTAGGTAACAGGGGTCTTGGAGACCCCTGATGTCAACATAAAGAGGACCTGTCATGTGAATTGGCTATCACATAGGGGGATTTCTTAGTCCCCTATGTGATAGCAATAAAGTTAAGTGTAAAAAAAAAAAGTTTTTTAAAAAGTAGTCACAAATTAAAAAAATTTAAAATAACACAATTTAAAAAAAAAAGTCCCCTGCCCCCTCACATACACACGCAAATATGCGTCGGGTGCGCCAACGTGCGAAAACGATGATTCTGATTACATATCGCCACGAACGTCGGAATGAGAGCAATAATTATAGGACCATTAATTACTGATAACATAATAATATTGATAATAATTGTTTCCTAATATTTTGTATGGAAACAGGTTGTATTTCAAAATTTAGGGTACTTTTTTTGTTATATAGTAAAAAAATTAAAACCCCCAGTGGTGATTAAATACCACCAAAAGAAAGCTCTATCTGTCCCCAAAAAAATGGTATAACATTCATTTCAGTACAGCGCTGCATGACGGAATAAATGTCAAAGTACTGCAGCGCTGAACACTGAAAAATGGCCTGGCCAGGAAGGGGGGTAGCACCCCAGGTCAGGAAGTGGTTAATAAGATAAAAATAAATAAAAGTAAGCAGTGACTGGCAGCGAGCATTATCTAGTACTGTACATAGTTGAATTTTGAGTTTGAAATTTTGCAATTTGCGCCCCCATGGAAGAAGAAAATGTGCCCTCAGGCCCCCAGGTCATTTGAGTCTGAAACCCCTGGTGTAAATGAAGCTGCGACTTTCTTACAACTCCTTACCAGTGCTTTAAGCTTCGTTCACACCTAGGTGTATTTCTCTTGCTCCTGGCTAAGCGTGACAGAACGTTTTACCCAAGGAATCCCATTCATTTCTACGGCCCCTGTTCACACATGTGAGTTTTGTCGCAACCAGAAATACGCCTGTCACTCAAAATAGTACATGAGCTGCTTTGGGGCAGATTTCGGTGCATAGACTCAATAGAAAATGCTTGAAAACGCATGTTGCGATTATTTTGGCACGCTTTTGTGTGTTTTTTGCTCATTCACATGAATGTGCCCTAATCTGCTAATATAAACGTGCGATGTAACATACGCGCACAATAACGCTAAAAGAAAAACGTGCGTAATAGATGTTGCTTAGGTGTGAGTAAAGCCTTAATGCTGAATGTTTGGTAGATATAAATGAGTGCAGCTCTGTAATCATTTAGATCACATTAAATGTACATTTATAAAATGCAAGCATTGTAGGTACCTGAGTTTGACTTGGTATCAGCCTATTGCTATGCCCTGTACAGAAGAGCTTAGGCTGGGAGAGTTTGAAGCAGCGCAAGGAGCCAGTCAGGTGTGATGCTGTGCTTATATGCTAACAAGTAGCATGCCGCTTCTCCTTTCACTGTCCTGTCACCCGCTGGGGGAAGGGAAGAGACCTGTAAGTGTTACTTGACTGCAGCAGGGAAAGATCTCTTCTACCCAGCTAGCCGGGGTTGTGTGGTATGGCAGAGCTGTGCAAATCTCAGGACTGACTGGACAGAAATACTAAACTTTGGCGGTTAAAACTGCTCACTTTTTCTGTGCATTTTTCTGCTTGCCTTGAGGTTAGCTTTAAACCTTGCTGCTAATATTTTCAAGCATGTTCCCCATGTCCCATAAATGTCAAGTGTAAATACTTTCTTGTGGCCCCCTCCCCACTCTGGTCTGTGATGTAAGTTATACTTCTCAAGACACATGTTGATTGCTGACCACACACAAATATTTTCCGATTGGACAGCATATAAAAACGTTAACATTGAATTACTGGAGGCTTGAAGTACAACACATGGGACAAATATGGGTGATGCCATTACTGATGTCCTGGTGACATTCTAGTTGCTTGGATCTGTTTATTTTCAGTACTTCTAAGTCGTGGACTTGGAACAAGCATGCAACAAATAAAAGTCCGTAATAAGCACACTTGTGCCTTTCAGGGCTAGTCATTTGGAAAGTGTTGATTCCAAAGCATCACATTGATGGCAGGCAACTAGTGTTGTCAAAGCTTAGCAATGTTAGCCCACACATTTCTCAGTAAACTTGAGCCATTAGTACAAAGTGAAAGCAACATCACAGGCACACAGAGGACCGTTTTCTGGCCAGTAAAGATGAGATCAAACTTTTTTTTTCTCTCCCGTTCATTGAAGGACACAGGGAACAGATCGGAGATCATGTACTGTACGGTAATATCGCCACCTGCAGGAGAAGGACGTTAGGCACAAAAAAACTAAAGACCAATTACAGCCTAGGGGCGGCCCCTGCCGGTGGCCAAACCCCCCACCTACTGAGAAGTCTCCAGTTTTTTGCCTAGCGTCAGGAGTAAGGAGCTAAGAATTTTCCTCGGTATTCTTACCTGCTTCTTCCTGATTTTTTTTTAGAGGATTCACCCACTTCTAGTTTTTTGTAGTAGAAATGGCTGGTGGGTTCACTTTAAATACCTTCTGCCACTGCCATGTTTCCCTACTCTGTCCTTGTTTCAGGTGCATATTTGTTGTTGTAAAGCAATCTTATCCATTTGCGTTTTCACCATACAGCATTTGTATATTTCCTGCAGTGCCTCATCATCTGCTGAAACAACTAATTGCTTTTGTGTTTAATGAGACATTCACATTTTGCCTTTAACTGAAATGTATTTCTTGTTCTTAGTACTGGCTGACAGAAAGTGCTCGTATGATCTCAAAGTCAGGAAAAGCTGTGGAGTGGGTAACACCCCTGGGACTACCCATAGTTCAGCCTTATCACCAGAGTAAGAGTATTATGGTAAGAGAGATTTTAAACTATTTGATATATATACCGTGTGTATATGTGTACAAACGATCAGTTCTGAGCGCCTGTAACCCGCTCTCCATCCTGACTCCTCCGCTCTCCATTCTGCTATCACAGGAGGTTGAGCGGTGCGGGAGGAGAGCTCGGCCTCTTGTGATAACTGACTCCTCCGAGCACTGCTCCGCTCGGCATCCAGAGCTGTCTCCTCCCCGCACTGCCCGGCTCGGCCTCCTGAAAGCTTTTCTCCTCCCTTTGGATGCCAGTCTGTGACCCCTCGGATTCCCGCTGCCTCTGACGACACGGGCGGGGGAGACGGAGGGTATCAGAGGGGACACAGACCTGTGTCCAGCGGGGAGGAGAGAAGCTAGAGATGCACTGAATTTTCGCCTGCATTTTCAGCTGTTATGATACTTTCGGCATTTTGCTCAAAGTACCATGTTTCGGTGGCCGAAATTCCGTTGCATCCCTACTTTCAGGTGATTTTTATGTACTGAACAACTGTTGACTTTAATTGAAATGAATCTTGCAGCTTTTGACTTTTTTTAATGACCATACTTATATAGACATTTATGCCCATATTCAGCATTAAATAGAAGGCTTAACTTACCTGTGACTCTTGAAAAATTGACAGATACTCGAACTACTATGGCTGTGCTACTGACAACTTAGGCCAGAGGTAGCCAAACTCTGGCCCTCCAGCTGTGGTGAAGCTACAAATCCTATGATGCATCTCTCTCCGGGAGTCATGTCTGTGGCTGTGAGAATCTTGCAATGCCTCATGGGATTTGTAGTTCCACCACAGCTGGAGGGCCGGAGTTTGGCTACCCCTGGCTTAGGCTGTCAGCTGGTGATGTGCTCAGTCCGGAAATTTTTTGGGTAATATCTTTGCTTTCAACAAACATCAACTGTTCTGAACCTTACAACAGTATTGTGTAATGCTGTTTGTCTAGCTGTTATTCATAGAAGCTTTGCTGATATTTTTTTCCAGGTCCAAAGTAAGTTGCAGGTGTTACATGCGCCCAACAAAAATGATGTTTCTGAGTAAGTGAAGTTTTGCTATCCTTTTTTATTCATTCAATATAGTTTTATCACATGGTAACAATCTTAGCAATTGATTCAGTGCAGGAAAGAGCAAAAGATTCACTTTAAAGCCAACTTGCACTCAGGTTTCCTTCACTTCTCTGCCATTCTGTTAGCTGCTAGCAGTAAATAGCAATATCTGGTATTTTCCAGGTATAGGGGAGTTTGTGATATCTCCTGTATATCCCATGTGACAGTGCCGGTGCCTAGCAATTGGCCAATCAGTCAGCAGGGACATGGGGGAAGGAAGCGAGTCTTCAGACCTGTGTAAACACGGATTAGGCTTGACGTGGAATTTACACAGGGCTTTTTCTACTGGAAGCAACTGAAGCAGTGAGGGAGTGAATGGAAAGTAAATTCCAGCTGCTGCAGGGATTTAAAATGAACCCTTTCCTTTGCTGTGCAAAGGACTAATCACCAGTATTGACTGTGTTCTCCCTGCAGCTTATATTTTCTATTACTGACTTACCATGCCTTGTCTTGCATTGTCTCTATGTCAAGGAAACTATTTTGATAGAGGCAGGTGTTTCTTCCACTTATGAGAGCCTCCAGCAAGGAGAACAGTGTGCTGCACAGTGGAGCCATCACCAAATCTCACTCCAGATCAGAGACTAACAATCAGAGGCACCAGTGGCTTAGCTCTCTCACCTGAAGCTTAAACATTGAGGCTGTAGGTACAAGAGTACCTAGGCAATCCTCACATACCACAAAGTGCACTGCTATATTTTAGGAGGAATTGCAGACATAAGGTGCATTTATTAGGTTACTGCTTAAACATAAATAACATTTGTAAATATCCCATATAACATAGTTACTCTTCACTTTTAAAGTTAATCCCCCTAGAACTGACTTGCCATATTCTGTGCTGTGCTTATGTGCTTTCTCATGCTTATATTTGTTGTCTATTCCGATTTGTAGGAAGCCCGATACCATGAAGCAGAAGAATGCTTTTCCTCCAAACTTTATTCATTCTTTGGATTCTACACACATGATGCTCACTGCTTTGCACTGCTATGCGTAAGTTCTGCTATTGAAAAGTGTCCTTCTGTCTATCAGGCAGTTGATTGAAAAAAAGTGGTGGGACCACACCACTTTCATCAGCACTTGTATAAGGTCCTACCACAGAAATGACCAAATCATTTCTGTATAATACTGTTAATTGCAGATAGTGTTTAAATATGCACCAAGCGTAACATATCCAGACTTCAGTCCAAAGGGATCACTGTTGACATGGTTTCCAGCATTGTTTGCTGAATTACCAGTGACATGGTTTAGTGTGGTCCTAATTCAGGAGGAAGCACCCTGTAATCTTGAACCCTCGTGTAGTACCCCCCAGTTCCTAGTGAAACCTGGTACCATGATACATTGGTGCATTGTGAACTGGGCAGCCTTCAACCTGTCTGGTAGTGTAAAACATATGAGTAAAAGGGTTCTGCAGATGCTAATAAAATGGTAGTGGGATAAAGAAGGCTCGTACCACAATGTTATTACACAGATACATCTAAAGCAGACGTGAACATTTTCAGTAAAACTAGATATCCCTTTACACTTACCTGAGCTCGTACTACACAGCAAAAACATGATCTGCAAGGATCAGAATTAGGGAAACACTCCATCACAACATCTCCATGAAATACTTTGCCTTCTTGTCTATCATATAGAACATACAAACCTAGTATATTTAACAAATTATGCTCATCCTGACCACGTTGACTACTGTTTTTCTACTACCAATTTTTCGGCAGGCTTGGGCTTACTTTTGTGTCTGTCCATGACTGTTTCTGGACCCATGCAGATACCGTGGATCTAATGAACAAGGTGAGAGGGAGTTGTTAAATCATCATAATTTTCAGAACCCAGTAAATTCTTACACACAAGCATGGGAAAAAGAATAAATATAAATACGCAGTAGGTTATAATGTTGGGATTGCAGTAGAGCTTCTTACTTTCTTTTGCTGTTATGTTATAAATTTAGTAAAGAATGTAATGTCTGCTGAATACTTTGCATCACTGTTCCATCCCATGCATGTCAATAAGGCCTTCTGCTTTTTTCGGACTTGTCTGATCTGCATGCTAGTTTTATCTTAATAAGTATAGGAGATAGAGGACCAGGAAGTTAGCAATTCTCTGTCATCCATTGAGGGACATAGGTCTAGATTCCATACCATGGTATATACTGCCACCTACAGAAGGATTTGGGCACTAAACAAAGCCACAATAGGCTATAATCCCACCACCACCAGGCATGCCCATCTTAGTTTAGTGTCACCAGAAGAAAGAAAGTGTTTTTCTTCAGCTTTGCTGATTCAAAACCTTTTCTACTGAAATGTGTTTGCAATAAGGTAGGTGCTGCTTGATGTTTTCTGGGGGGAATCCCTGCGGGGAGCGGTGACCGATAGTGACTGCTCTCTGCAGATAGAAAACGTGAGCTGAGCGATCGGCGGGTACATGGTAACTCTACTGTTCATGAGACAGCTGCAGTGTCTCATGCTGGCTCTTAGTATTGGGGACAGCATATTTTAATTGTCCCTGCTTCATTAGGCCGATTTAACATGAACATTCAGGTTGTCAGGTTTCCAATCCTTAGTTTGCAGAGGAAAAACGGGCAACAATACATCTCTATGGCAGTGCGGATGAAAACTGATGACCATCAGTTTACATCAGGAAACATCAGTGTCAGTTGAGGTCTGCAATTTGAGATGGATCAGATTTTTGTTTTGGCTGATCGGGACTGATATTTAACCTGATGTAAATTAACGATCAGTTTACATCAGTTCAGGTTATGTGCGTTTTTTGGGGACTGATGTCGTAATGCAGCATGGCAAGCTCAATGCATGCTGGGGGTAAGCAAGGAATCATTGGAATTTACCATACTCTAATAACAAAAGGCCCAAAACGGACATGTAAAAAACAAATGTAAACTGAACTGACAACGGATGTGCACACTGATGTAAACTGATTCAGTTTTCATCAATTTTTTGTATCCGTGAACCTTGACGGAACTGATAACGCTCGTGTGAAAAGGGCCTCTAGACCTTTATTCTCACAGGCCATCCTGACAGTGACTTATGTTGGTCAACAAGGAGGAATCAGAAGTTTGGCGGCAGCAGAGAGGTACAGCACATCTGTTGCGCAGAGAAGCACATTCCAACAATCCCTACAAATTACATTCCCATGGAGGAAAATTGGAAAGCCGGCTTCCTGATACACCAGTGCTTGGTTCCAGAGGAATAGTCCCTTCATAAGTAGGTGTTCTTGTGAGTGGCTTTGTGACTCCCCTAAAACTTGTTGTTTTATTTTTTTGGGGGGGTTTGCCCTTGTTGAGGTTGGGATGTCCTTTCCTGGCCCTCATTTGGGACTGATTTTGGATATATAGTGGTCTGTGTCCCTCATACAACTTTCTCCCCTTTTGTTTTGGGTGGCTTGTTGTCACAGTTTATAGTAGGAACCTGGTCCCCCTTTTTTCTCCCCCTACTGCTTGCTACAATTGAGCATGCTTGGTAGGAGTGTGGTTATTGCCTTTTTTAGATTGTCCCTTTGAAATTTGTATAGTGCCCAAATCCTTCTGTAGGTAGCAGTATAACCAATGGCATGATATCCTTGAGCTGTCTCCCTCAATCAACATCAGAGAAATAAATCCCCCAGGCGCATGGGGTCCCCCATCTTGGTGGGAGAGTTTCTGTTTGGGAAATTGTGCTCTGGCATACTTCGCCTAACAGGTAAGTGCTCTGGCCTAGTTTGTCTGACAGGTACGTATGTTGTGGCTGAAGTGCTGGTCAGCTGATCAGACTCCTAAGAAAGACCCTACATTGTGCTTTAAATTGGGAGAAGTGTCCCCTAGTGCAGCCCTACCCCTGAGGTGAGGGTAAACAAATGTGGGTGGCGGTACTTGGTGTGCGGCTCCTTAAAAATGCGGACCGGGGTTCCGACGTTTGCTAATTAGGAAGACAAGAAATACAGAAGCGCACTACCAAGTGGTGACTAGGCAAGGAAAAAAAAAAAAAATTAAAGGAATAAGACTTACCAGGGAGTGGTTACTAGCGCATTGTCAGCGACGAGGTGTGGATGGATGGGGAGTCCAGGGTTGCTGAAGGTGGTGGGCAGAGTAATGTGGAAATAGTTGGTGCTGAGAAGAATTCGGTGTCAATGGGAATCTGGGTCAGATGTTTGGTGTGGCAGGGATCTGGGGGAGGGGGGGCAGGCCCGGTGGGAACCGGGTTAGGAGAAATGTTTGTGAAGGACTGTCTGAACGGTGCTGGCTGCTAGGAGAGGCCAGTGGATGTGTGCCTGAATACTATGTGGGGGGGCCGCGGCGAACAGTTAATGCTGGCAGGCAGAGAATGTCCGGGGGAAGCCAGTGGTTGGGAAGATTGCCTGGAGGTGGATGTTGAGGTCGGGGTTGAGCCACTGAGAGGAGTGGGACTACACCGCTCGAGGGCACGAGCAGGGAGCCCGAAGCAGCGAGCGGTGTGTCTGTGAAGTACAACGGGTGAGAACGAGTGGCGGAGGTGAGGAGTGACAGTGTTCAAACTGGCTACAGGTTTCGAAGAGCGGGTCTTCTTTTTCAAGCCAAAGAGTAAGGGGACAGATGGCGGGAGAAAGGCCGGTTTTTGAACGTCAGAAGGTGGGTGGAGTTGTTGAGAGGGGCGGGGAAGTGGGGTGGAGATGGAGTGACGTGGAGGACGGCAAGTGTGGAGAGGTACACTTGCCGTCCTGATGCAGAAGGAATGCTTTCAGGGTGGAGGGGGAACAAAATACATAATAGCAGAAAATAAAGAGTGATGGTTCAGTGGACCGTGAGAATTGGGAACCGGGTGTGTAAAACATAATAATGCGTGTCAGCACAGTGGTGATGGAGGGAACCATGAGAAGGTTGCAAAATAATCTGATTGAGTGGGTGGGGGAATTATGCGTGCCCTCGAGCGGTGTTCAGGTTTTGGCATTGGCAATTTTTTTCCAGCATCTGTTAGCCTTGAATTCCTTTGCGTGTACCTTCTTTCAAGGCATTTTACATGTTTCTTCTCCAGGCAAGTCTCCTTTGCCTCCATGGGACTTCAATTTGGTTCTCTTGGTTTTACAGAATTCTCCTTTTGAGAGTACTCGTGTTATGCCTTTATTAAATTTGTCACAGTAGGTGGCTCAGAGAGTTTCGCAATAGCTGCCTTATGTTGTAATGCTCCTTTTTTGATTTTACATAAAGATGAGGACGTTTTTCGTCCTAGACATTCCTTTCTTCGTTATCCAGTATCTGATTTCCATCTCAATGAGGATATTCTATCCTCACTTTGTCCTTTTCCAATGCATCCTAAAGTAATAATGCTCATCTGTCTGGATGTAGTTAAGGAGGTGCGAGTTTGTCTGCTACTGAATCTTTCTGTAAGTCATTCTCTTTTTGTGATTACTGACGACCCATGGGAAGTAGAAGACGCTTATACAGCTAGCAAGTTATTGTTCAGGCTCATGCTCTTATAGAACAACCGCCACATTTTCTGGCTACAGCTCATTCTACTCATGCGGTTAGCACCTCATGGGCTTTTTAACATCAAGCTCTTATTTCTCAGGTCTGCAAGGTGAGTCATCGGCACACTTTTACTCAATCCTTTAGAGTTGATGTTGTTACATCTGCGGATGTTTCTGTTGGTCGCTGCTTAGTTTGCGTGAGCCGGGGTTTTTTGTTGTTCAATTTTATATTGTTCCTGCCCCTAGGTGGGCATTGCTGTGAGACATCCCACCTGTATAGAGATCAAGATCTCTGCTGCGTCCTTCAATGAACGAAAGAGAAAATAGGATGTTTATACTGGCCATAAAATCCTTTTCTCTGCGTTCATTTAAGGACACAGGTCTCTCTCCTCTTTGGGTCTTTTTGTGCCTTAGTTCTACTGCTTTGTGACTAACTGAGCTGCCTTGGAGTGGGTGTGGCCACCAGCAAGAGTGAGCTTTTTTTGTGCCTAGCATCCTACTTCTGCAAGTGTCGGTATAACCCATCTGTACAGAGATTAGGATCTCCGCTGTGTCCTTCAATGAAAGCAGAGAAAAGGATTTTATTTTGAATACAAAAAAATATTTTCCCTCCTTTCCCTCAGAAAAAAATCTGAATACATTTGGCAATGGCCTGGAAATGTATTTGTAATAATATAAATGTAGTCCTTGCGTATTGTATTACATGATAAAGCTAGTAGCCAAATTCATTCTGTAAACATGATTTAGATGTGGCTTTTTTTAAAATCCCTTTCTGTACACTGCTAGTGGTGCTTAGTTACTAGATTGCAAGAACAATTTATTTTTGTCTTTGCTTTGCCTTACTTAATGATTAACATGCTATGTGTTTTCTTGTCGTGTGTTTTAATGAATGCCGGGCAGGGCAGCTACTATGGTGTTTGATGGGTAGCAATTATTTTCTTGACTTGATCTGCCATAGTGTACTAGAAAATGTACCTAATATACTGTAGGACGTACATGGTCTAATAACTTAACATACAATAGTGTAATTATAATAATGAAATCGCAAGAAAGAGAAAATATATTGGGAAAAAAAATAACCTTCTGTCAGCTGCTACCCAAGCCATGCATCTGTTAGAACTCTTTGTCACTTGGGATCAACCAATCTTAAGGATTGTAATATTCTATACTGCAGAAACCTAACTGATATTACTTCACAGGTTTGTCGGGAACAGTTTGTGTCTCTGCACAGTCAGCCAATTCTAAAGGACCTTTCAGCGTTCATGTTACAGAAATACTGCCATGGGTGAGTACAGGGGTGCTTTGGACAGAAAGGGAGACCAGTATGATGGGAAGGGAGGAGCAGGCATTTTAGGCACATATGTGATTGCTATAATCTGTTATGAATATTATGGAACACATTCTCTGATCATGTCTGCATTAAATAACACACCAAACTAACATTTCCCAGCTATCATTAAAGTGTATCTAAACCAAAAAAAAGCTAAAATGTTTCTTTCTCGTTCACACACACATGTACACACACACACACTATGTCTTTCACCTTCAGGTTATACTGCTACGGAGTATTGGACACTGGCAAACAAACTGTAGGCCAGCCCATGATAACCCTTCTACGTACCAGCATGTCTCAGGCTTTTCTAGTGTCCTCAGAGAATGGACTTTTCTTTTCAGCTTTGCTGTATGGAAGACTACCGTATATACTCGAGTATAAGCCGAGTTTTTCAGCCCATTTTTTTTGCTGAAAAGTGCCCCCCTCGGCTTATACTCGAGTCAGCGTCTCGAGCTGGTCAGGTTTCTTCTTACTTACCTCGCCGAGCCACTGCTGCTCCGGTGGGCGGCGCTCCGAGCGGGGTCATCTGGCAGTCTCTGGGTCCTAATTTAGGTGGCCATATATACGGTAAATTATTTTTCTAGCACTTCTCTTAAACTTTAAGATTTTTCTTCTTCAGTCAAAGCTTGTCAACATTGCACTGACATTGCTGCTAGAGGTCATCTTCTTTTATGAGCTAGCTGTTGCAGCCATTCTTAGCCTGGCTTTTGGACTGGGTCTTGCAGGGTCCTGATTCGGGCTGCAGCTAACGATTATTTTCATATTCGATTAGTTAGCCGATTATTAATTTCGATTAATCGGAAAAGAAAAAAAAAGGCTCCAGTGATGGACTACTAGTTTCTATTGAGATTGTAGTCCATCACGAAAGCAAGCTTGACGCGGTGGAAGTAAAAAAAAAGTGTGGTGTGCAATATAGTACATTATACAGCGGCGCAGTGCAGAATACCAGCAGCTATAGAGGAATACAGCAATAGTACATTACACTATAATGTACTATTGCTGGGATTTGTAGTCCTCTGTAGCTGGCGTTATTCTGCATTGCACTGTATATAATTATTATTGCTGGGATCTGTAGCTGTATCTCTATAGCTGGTGGTATTCTCGCAGTATAATGATTATACTGCGCAATGCAGATTACCACTGACCAGTTATAGAGGAACAACAAATCGCAGCAATAATACATTATACCGGCTGCTTAATATATTATTGCTGGGATTTGGTGTTCTGCAGTGTGCCGCTGTATTATACATTGCAGAACACCATGACACTGTTTATGACACTGTTGTTTTATATGTACACGTTTTAAACACTGCAATTGTAATATTTACTGAATATATATATATATATATTTACTTAGGATATTACTCCAACCTGTTTACTGTTCACAAACTCAAAGGGGACATTCGCCCCATCATGGATTTCAAAACTCTAAATGGTTTCATTTGTTCGACATGTAGTTCCTTCTTTTCCGTTAGCCTTTGTTGCCCACCCCTTGGTTGGACTGCTTTTGAACATCTCCTTTGTTACATTAATTTTGTAAATAATTCTCCAGAGGG